CAGGGTAACGTTTAACATTGGAAATGACAGTGTTTCGACACTCTATACCTGGACAATCTCACACTGCCTGGCGTTACAATATTTATGTTATTCAGGAAGAAAAAAGATAAAATCTCGAACTTATCACCTGAAACTGTTACACGAGAACCGTCCAACATTTATTTCACCACGTTTTTTATGATTTTTTTTTAAAATTTCCAACCTCGTACATATTGCAGTATTAATCATTAATTTATTATTGTAAGATTATAAATGTAATTTGATCACTTAGACTGCCTGGCTCCATAGTAAAATTGTTATGTCTCGTCCCTGCCAGATTACTGCTTAACGTCACAACACGTATACGGTAGTAATCGTTATTTCTGGGAATGTTACTATAAGATAAAAACCATTATGACCATAAAGACGTTATAACACGTGGATGTATCACAGGCTTTTAAATACAACATATGTTATCGTTCTGCCTTGACAGTTTACCTTCCCCCTGACAGATTTGGGAAAAAAAACCATGAAACAAAACATGACATCAAATTACCTCAAGTTCCTATACTCTAACGGGCAATGAATTACACAAGTTTCACGCTCCCGATTTCAGAACTAGTTTTGTTTGGACGATTTATTAATTTTACTCCCTAAGTCACATCGTCTCCATATAATAACGTTAGTGCTAACTTTTAGGTTTATATAAGTTAGTACCGACTTACAGGTTTATATAGTTAGTGACGACTAACAGGTTTATATAGTTAGTGCTGACTAACAGGTTTATGTAGTTAGTGCCGACTTACAGGGTTATGTAGTTAGTGCTGACTTACAGGTTTATATAGTTAGTGACGACTTACAGGTTTATATAGTTAGTGCTGACTTACAGGTTTATGTAGTTAGTGCTGACTTACAGGGTTATGTAGTTAGTGCTGACTAACAGGTTTATATAGTTAGTGACGACTTACAGGTTTATATAGTTAGTGCCGACTTACAGGTTTATATAGTTAGTGACGACTTACAGGTTTATATAGTTAGTGCCGACTTACAGGTTTATATAGTTAGTGCTGACTTACAGGGTTATGTAGTTAGTGCTGACTTACAGGGTTATGTAGTTAGTGCCGACTTACAGGGTTATGTAGTTAGTGCCGACTTACAGGGTTATGTAGTTAGTGCCGACTTACAGGGTTATGTAGTTAGTGCTGACTTACAGGTTTATATAGTTAGTGCTGACTTACAGGTTTATATAGTTAGTGCCGACTTACAGGTTTATATAGTTAGTGCCGACTTACAGGGTTATGTAGTTAGTGCCGACTTACAGGGTTATGTAGTTAGTGCCGACTTACAGGGTTATGTAGTTAGTGACGACTTACAGGTTTATATAGTTAGTGCTGACTTACAGGTTTATATAGTTAGTGCTGACTAACAGGTTTATATAGTTAGTGCTGACTAACAGGTTTATATAGTTAGTGCTGACTAACAGGTTTATATAGTTAGTGACGACTTACAGGTTTATATAGTTAGTGCTGACTTACAGGGTTATGTAGTTAGTGCTGACTAACAGGTTTATGTAGTTAGTGCTGACTTACAGGGTTATGTAGTTAGTGCTGACTAACAGGTTTATATAGTTAGTGCTGACTAACAGGTTTATATAGTTAGTGCCGACTTACAGGGTTATGTAGTTAGTGCCGACTTACAGGGTTATGTAGTTAGTGCTGACTTACAGGTTTATGTAGTTAGTGCCGACTTACAGGGTTATGTAGTTAGTGCCGACTTACAGGGTTATGTAGTTAGTGCCGACTTACAGGGTTATGTAGTTAGTGCCGACTTACAGGTTTATATAGTTAGTGACGACTTACAGGTTTATATAGTTAGTGCCGACTTACAGGTTTATATAGTTAGTGCTGACTAACAGGGTTATATAGTTAGTGCTGACTTACAGGGTTATGTAGTTAGTGCTGACTTACAGGTTTATATAGTTAGTGCTGACTTACAGGTTTATATAGTTAGTGCTGACTTACAGGTTTATATAGTTAGTGCCGACTTACAGGGTTATGTAGTTAGTGCCGACTTACAGGGTTATGTAGTTAGTGCTGACTTACAGGTTTATATAGTTAGTGCCGACTTACAGGGTTATGTAGTTAGTGCTGACTTACAGGTTTATATAGTTAGTGCTGACTTACAGGTTTATATAGTTAGTGCTAACATTCTTGATAATATACGAGAGATTTCAACAGAACTCTTAGCAAGGATTCATGACACTGCTTCTAGATCTAAATGTAAGAACACTTTGTACGTTAACATGATGTCAGGATAATAATTAAACTTTTAATTACATGTCTGTTGGACGTGACGTGGCCTACCTAATTATCATACATAGTTTATACATGTCACCTACAAGTAAATCATCTATTTCTAATTTTATTTCGAGTGTTTTTTACTCATTTTCTATGAATACACACTATAACGTGACAACGCTAATCTACAGTAATACTGCTGTTACATAAACGTAGATTAAAACGGAGCCTTGTTTCGTCAGGCAAAGATATCATTCTTTAATCTGGTAATTAACTTCTACCACTGAACGAATACCCCCAACGCCCAGTCCCCTACCCCCTCAGTAAAACAACACTCGTGTACGATTGCATTGTAAATTATTTCGTTTTTTCTTAATATAATTTATGCTTTGTAAAGATAATCCCCATTGATAAAGATATAATACTATACCTCGTTTATAGGTTTAGCAATATCAAAACACTTATATACACTGTACTATTTTCCCCTTTATAATAAATCAATGCGATTTATCATCTATATATAAATCCAAGAAATGATAAAGATACATAAAGACATATTTATATTTGTTCTTATTTAACCCGTAACATTCATGTAAGACATGGACGATGACTTGAAAAATTTCTTTGAATAATTACTTTAAACATTTTTTTCTATGAAGCATCCCCAGCCTGTTGTTTGTCGCGAGAATTGTGTTTTCATATTGGTGGATGCCTTTCTATAAATAGTTGTCCTCAACATTGACATTGGAATTCCTAAAATGATTTTAAGGGGATTCTCTCGTATGATCTTACTGTATAGTATGCTCAACCTTACATAAACTGAGTCGCTACTGTGATGACATTATAATCTTTTTCTCTGTTACAGGTAAGTGACGTTGACCTTTGACCTATGAATCACAAATCTATTCCAGGTATTAGTCACCTAGACAAAAAGTTTGATCATATTCACTAAAATAAAGACAGCAGAGTGATGTCATTGAATGGATGAACGGTTTTGTATTAACCGTTACATTTAACTTTTTGGCACACATACAACACGAACGCATCCGAGTAATTCTCATATGTGACCCTTGCATATACTTTTGTCAAAATCCTCGAAGAAGTCATCAGAGTGATAGAAACAGAAGCAGAGACCTTGAAACCCTGAAATACGAACTTGACCTTGTAAAAGCCTGAGCCGATCTTGTATGAAGGAAATATCTGTATTAATGAAGTTGGTAAAATGATGACAATGACTGGAGACTTGGAAGCTGGTAAAATGATGACAATGATTGGAGACACGGAAGCTGGTAAAATGATGCTAATGAATGGAGACACGGAAGCTGATAAAATGATGACAATGACTAGAGACTTGGAAGCTGCTAAAATGATGACAATGATTGGAGACAAGCTTGTAAAATGATGACAATGACTGGAGACTTGGAAGCTGATAAAATGATGACAATGACTGGAGACATGGAAGCTGGTAAAATGATGACAATGACTGGAGACACGGAGGCTTGTAAAATGATGACAATGATTGGAGACAAGCTTGTAAAATGATGACAATGACTGGAGACTTGGAAGCTGGTAAAATGATGACAATGACTGGAGACTTGGAAGCTGGTAAAATGATGACAATGACTGGAGACACGGAGGCTTGTAAAATGATGACAATGATTGGAGACAAGCTTGTAAAATGATGACAATGACTGGAGACTTGGAAGCTGGTAAAATGATGACAATGACTGGAGACTTGGAAGCTGGTAAAATGATGACAATGACTGGAGACTTGGAAGCTGGTAAAATGATGACAATGACTAGAGACTTGGAAGCTGCTAAAATGATGACAATGATTGGAGACAAGCTTGTAAAATGATGACAATGAATGGAGACATGGAAGCTGCTAAAATGATGACAATGATTGGAGACACGGAAGCTGATAAAATGATGACAATGAATGGAGACACGGAAGCTGATAAAATGATGACAATGACTGGAGACATGGAAGCTGGTAAAATGATGACAATGATTGGAGACACGGAAGCTGGTAAAATGATGACAATGAATGGAGACACGGAAGCTGGTAAAATGATGACAATGACTGGAGACATGGAAGCTGGTAAAATGATGACAATGATTGGAGACACGGAAGCTGGTAAAATGATGACAATGAATGGAGACAAGCTTGTAAAATGACTACAATGATTGGAGACACGGAAGCTGGTAAAATGATGACAATGAATGGAGACCCGGAAGCTGATAAAATGATGACAATGAATAGAGACACGGAAGCTGGTAAAATGATGACAATGAATGGAGACAAGCTGGTAAAATGATGACAATGATTGGGCACATTGAATTCGTATGGATATCGGTAAATCCCTTCACAAGATATTTTTGTATAACTACCCATAGAAATATTTGGTATACCCTGTGTAGCAACCATGAATAAACATAAAGATACAGATGAAACGCCGAGGAGAAGTTTTAAACATTTTATACCAGGACATGAACTCTTGTATTTAATGTAAAAATGGCAGACGTCTTATTGTCTCCGTGACTTGCATTAAATAACCCTATTGAAGGCATCATACACCGCGACGCTTTGGCGGGCTGTCCGGCATTTTATATTCAACAATTACCATTCATATGATTTAAATCTAGTTCTGTTGCAGGATTTTTGACACCAATATCCAAAATGTTACCACCTTCCCTCCCCAAGTCTGTGTTGATCTGACTTACCGGGAATCCGCCACAGTTCAGTTCGTTGTCGTTGTAATTTTTCGGTGTTGCGAATCCGTACCGCCAAGCAGAGGAGCGCATTGGGGGTTCTATTAGTCTTCCATGTCCGTGTCCTGTCGGCAGCCAAAAACACACAATTAACACAATAAAACACCACATGCTTTCCATGTCGGGAATATCGGACTACTTAAAGTTGAATATAAAATTCCAAAACTATTTAAGCAATTCCAGAAACTGCTAGGGTGTTGAGTTGTTGTCTTTCCGAGAGTGTGCAGTCGACGTGTTCTCGCGCTCTTCCAAGCGTACAACTGTCACAGACACACCACCGTCACTATATATAAGTGATGTGTCGCCAAGTCGTTAAAAGTCGGAAGGGTCAGTAGGGATAATGTACATATGCTGGTATTTACAATGTCAAAAGAAGAAAGATTTTAATTACAATTAACCTTACAAATTAATTAGCTAATAGATACACGTGACATTTCAAATATAAACAAAATATATACTTCACTCGACATACGATGTACAATATAAGACTACATGTATACTTAACCTGGTTTCTAAGACGCCATTCAGTATTCTCGGAGCTGCAAATGAAACCATTAAAAATGAAATATAACTGTTATAATGCAACAGTTTCCTTTGGCTGAGGTTGACAAACGAATTGTATAAACCCAAGTCATATAATTCAACCTAACACGCAATCCTAAATGTAATAAACATATTTCTACCTGTTTGTTTATTCGTTTTTTATCCCGTGTTACCTAATGCTACCTTTGATTAATAGTTTTGAAAAGTCAATTAAAAAATGTGCATTATTTTGTAAGTCGGATGAAGGAATTAATTAGTGAAGTTATTTATCAGCAGGAACCGTCCATAGTAAAAGGTTATGTGGTTAATTATGCTATGATAAATAAATGTATTTAGTGACCACCTGTATCAGTAACACGGCTAATAAAACCAGTATCATTATGATCAGGGCAGACTGGTTTTGATAGTGAGTTCCAAGAGATGTGTATGTGTCAAAAACCGGAGTTCTCGTTAGCGTTTCAAAAATGTATATGTCGGTGAAATTTCACTGGGGATACTGTGGATGACAAAAACGAGTATTTGATAAAATTGAGACCCAATAATGTCCTGATAATCACGGAACTTAATCTTCACAAGTTGTTTGCTTATCATGCACATGAGTTCACATTTTAACATAACAACACTAAACCCTGTTTTTTGTTGTAGAAAAAATTGTTTGGAACAAATTCTCATAGCCGCTGCTGATCTAGAAAATACCTTCCTCGAAGACATACGAAAAAGACAACCTAACTCACAGATTCATAGGAGACGACTTCAAATTGACAAAAAAAAAAAAAAAAACAACAACATTAATGTTGTGGAAGATGTTATTGACACACTCAAACACACATTCTGTTCACGAAAAGATATATACTTAAATACTTCTAATATTTTTTTTTCAAACTTGTTACCAACGAATGTACAATGTTAAAGGTAGCGACCATTTTCTGACATATATGGTTATCTGGTTGTAAATATTTAAATAATTCAAAATCACGATATATTCGAATGTTTACAAATCATATCATTGACGACGAAACACAAATATACTAAAACTATTAATGAGGTTTTTTCATATTGATATTTCTATCTATTTTAAGAACCTATAACTTGTGTAATTGCTGTTTTAGGACATTGTACATTTACGTAGGTATGGCATCTGTAGTTCTTCCGTAGTTTCTTCAATTTATTTTTATTAATGCATTTTACATGTACATGGGTCTGGATTATTTGAAGGAATCGTGATCACACAGGCGATGAACTACGTCAGCCTAGTCGTGTATATACATATCCGCGCTACTATTGACGTCACGCATTTTAATGCACACGTTTCGTCATTTATGGTGCATCGGCCATTAAAACGCCTCTGCTATTAATCTCATTGATGGAAATCTTGATCAAACAAGTTTTTGCTGCGAAACAGGACAATGCCACATTGTGTTTCGATATTGCGTTATATGATAAACGCCATCGCCCACCGTGATTTACTACAATTAGTCTTATAGAAACAGTCACCGCCTTTTGGAGGGGGAGGGGGTGGGTGAAATCTAACTTGATATTATCCGCCCCTACTCATCATCAAGGAGGTGAACGATAAATTTTCTGTGTTGTTTTCCCCATTGTTTCGCATTGTTGGTGTGACATCATAAAAATGGAAATACCCCGCCTCAACCTTAGAGATTATTCGCGCATGAAATCAATTCCAGAACTTCATATTAAACGTTTCTAAAATACTTCCAAAACCTTCCTTGTATATTTGGATAAATTTAATTTCAATGCTTTATTTAAAATAAAATTTCATCATTTTCTTGTTACAGCTTTGTCCATCTACATGCACAGATAAATTCCAAGTAACTCCGATAAAGGTAAATACCTGATCAATGTTAGACATCAGTAATTTACATATGTCTTTACAATGTATTGCGGAGATAACAAAAACTATGCTGACTAATATACCGGTCGTGATGAGACGTAACGAGACTGGGCTTTGATGGCCAGATATCATAAAAAGTGTCACTTGGCCGTGGTCTTTTCTCTGGTCAATCCAAGTTTGGACAGGTGTGTGATAAAAGAGACCAGGTAGGCAAATGAATGTGGCAGGATAGGTGTGTATATATGTGTTGTTTTCCTGTGTGTGTAGTAATGGGACAGAGTAATGGACAATGGTCACTGTCCTGTCATACCGCAAAAAACCGTCATACATATCAACGGTTATTAGTCTCAGCTATGCTAGCGCCCTCTTTCTCGGCTTGACTTTCTTTCATTTCTTTCTTTCCAAATAAATATAAGAAGGTAATTAAATAAACCAGACTGATAACTAATTGATATATATACATGTCTTATCATTTGCATCCTCGAAATTTCAGGGGGTTACGATCACTAACGATCTCTGGAAGGGTGTATCATTAGGGAGGAAGAGTTGTATGAAGGGTTAAAATCATACTGGGTATTCTTTTACTTACGTAGATCTACATCTGATATAAGTCCGGAATATCTGGTAAATTTCAGGTGTTGTATGTAACATACAAATCACATCAATCAGTTCCGGCGAAAAAGAGTAGACAATACTTTACTTGTCTTCCGGTCTAAACACTTCCCATTGTTCGCTAAGATTCGATCAGATGACACGCCGTTTTGGTTCTGAACAAGTCTGCAATGGATGGTAGCTATCTACCTGAAAGTTAATTGATTGATGTACATGTTAATGACTAGAACTAATAAACACGGCTATCTGTTTGGAGAAACAATATCACTGTACTAATTATATGATAATTTGACTGAGTTATACAACACCACTGTTTTGTTGATCACCCAGCCATGATTAAAACGTCAAAAGCTATTGAATACTTGATTAGCAATATCTTACAATCAAAGAAAGTCCTTTTGGGGGTTATTCAAGTACATCACAAAGCAAATATTGTTCACACTTAAATACTAGTTATTGCGCTCATTAGTCATAATAATACTAGATATACACTGAAGCTCTCGGTCAAACACCTAATTAGGGGCTGTTGATGTCCCCTTACCACATGTCGAGTTTACGGGTCATTTACCTTTTGGTTTTATACTTCTGTTCCGGTATAATTATGACAATAACGACATTTGAAGTATGTAACTAGTACGTATATATGTAATTAGTTTGTGGTCTCTCCCCTCAACTTTCCTCCCCAAAGTACAAATCATACACAACTCTGTCCTAAACAACCGATCAGGTTCGAACAGTTTTACTGTTTCATTTTGTATCTGACCTTAAGGGCTCGTCCTCTTGAAGAACAAAGGACCGTGATATTAGACGTAAAACCCGTTATCGCCAGAACACTGACATATGTCGCTGAAACAATACCTTAGCGAAAGGAAGAGACGTATACCCTACAACTGACCACATGTGACTATTCAAAACCTTGTGACGTCATTGTGACTTCATGTCAATAAGTCATTTCCGGCAAGATGCACACTATCATTTTATTTTTTGTTACAGCGATGTTGGTAGATACACAGATAAATAAACATCTCTTGTATTAGGATTATCTATATAAAATATCTCGTGATATCTATGTTTGTTTACAAAAACCTATTGCTGACGAATCGAGACGGAGTCTCAGACTTAAACTCACTCCATCGTTAGGAAGGGAAGCAACTCTTGGAGATGAGAATGTATCTTACGTAGGTTATATACAAGGGGTCGGTCCATAAAATGCATGTAGCTCATCCTACTCTCATGATACTTACATTTTGCTTGAATTTGAAAAAATAAACAAATCTGTTTCATTTTGAAGCTTTAACTATGATATCTAAGTCCGTTGACATATAACTTTGCTTTACAAGTTTTAATGTTGTTATATTTAGGAATAGTGAATTATGGATCAGGGACACCTGCCTGTGACACGCTATCCCACAATAAACTATATGTGGACCGTTTAATTAGGAATACTGATATTTTCCAGAACCTTTCCGATGGTAAAATCTATAAATATCTTCATCGTCCTTTTAACTGAAATGATATAGATATTGAACAATTGCCCGTAAGTTACGTCTGAATATTGTTTAATATTCAGCAATGGAGAGATTGATGACTCTACTGCATTTCTATCTACACAAATGTACAGCTTTCATCACAGAATTTATTATATATATACAAGTTAGGTAATAGGAATGATTGATTGATAACAACCTGTCAATTGATGATCGATTATCTGGATAAATCAATACATGCTATATACACAGAATGTTTAAGTCTTTAAGTAGTAACATGTTACCAAGTGCAAAGTCCGCATATGATTTTGCAGACATTGAAAAGTTCAAATGAGGACCACGAAAAGTATTACCCAGAACAACTGACATTTCCCGTCATCTATAGCTTCAAATACAAACGTATTGATATGACAGGGAAGGTTTCATACTGGAACCCATCAGGAAAACACTGATCCCGGCGTAACAGTGTTAATCAGGCAGAATCATTATAAAGCTAAACTTACATAAGTATAAATTATATTAACAGATGAGAAAACACTGATCCCGGCGTAACAGTGTTAATCAGGCAGAATCATTATAAAGCTAAACTTACATAGGTATAAATTATATTAACAGATGAGAAAACACTGATCCCGGCGTAACAATGTTAATCAGGCAGAATCATTATAAAGCTAAACTTACATAGGTATAAATTATATTAACAGATGAGAAAACACTGATCCCGGCGTAACAGTGTTAATCAGGCAGAATCATTATAAAGCTAAACTTACATAGGTATAAATTATATTAACAGATGAGAAAACACTGATCCCGGCGTAACAGTGTTAATCAGGCAGAATCATTATAAAGCTAAACTTACATAGGTATAAATTATATTAACAGATGAGAAAACACTGATCCCGGCGTAACAGTGTTAATCAGGCAGAATCATTATAAAGCTAAACTTACATAGGTATAAATTATATTAACAGATGAGAAAACACTGATCCCGGCGTAACAGTGTTAATCAGGCAGAATCATTATAAATCTAAACTTACATAGGTATAAATTATATTAACAGATGAGAAAACATTTTTATTTTGGCGACTGCTGTTAATTTATTTCAACGTTTTAGGTCTTTAGAATCACTAACGAGTCCTGGAAGGACGAAACATCTGTAAACTTCAGATGAATTCTTTGTTTGACTCTGCTATATTCCATCTTAATTTGTATGAGGAGTTTTATTCACCTGTGTGTCTGATACACTTGAGATTGGAGACAGTAGAAACTGCTGGCGGACTTTTTAGTTCCCGATATTTGCCCTAACCTTCACACCGCATTTTATACACATATACTATACGTTGTTGTTCTAAAATTACCAGATATACGGAAATTATTTCCTCATTCGCCCCACGACTTTACTGACGAGTCCTAGAAGGACAAAACAGCTGTCAGCTGCAGTTAAAATCGGTGTTATTCACTATTGTACTTCAGTTTGTTCGGAAGTGACCTATCAACAACAGCAGCAATTTGACAAAAGTAATCAAAGTTGGTAACTGTTGATTTTTGAATCTTAATCGGACATGTACATTTTGTATATAACCGGCTTTAAGCATGGGCGTGGCGAAATAAAAGCAGACTGATATTGGTCACAGATTTAATTATATCGTCAGTCCCGTCGACTGTTAATAAGGCTTTATGTTTAATTAACTTTTTATTCCACTGAAGTATACGTGTAAGTGTGCATTTTAAACCCAGCAAGGAGATTAAAATTACGAGAATGTTGAGGAGATTTAAGTCCTAATTACCCTAATCTGACCTTGTTACAACGTGTAAGGGTCGGACATATTGTACCTGCGGGTATCAGGTGTTCTTATTGTCGTGATTACAGGTATTTTACAGGTATGAACAGCGATTAACGTTTACCTGTACATTTGTATATATATATATATATTTTAAATTGTATAGATTGACATTTCTCAATAACGAAGTGAACATTATTGTAGCTTCAATAGTGCAATTTTCTTTACTGTAGTCTATCGTGTGTTTTTGTAAAAGAGAAAACAGGCTTATGTACAGAGTAAATTACTCGTGAAATACCTTAGTGTGTCATATCAACAGAAAGGAATATGGTAACAACCAGTCAGGTGGTACTAAGGTATAAACTGAGGACGACGGTACAAGACTACTGGCAGAAATGCGTGTCTTTGGAATGATATAGCTTGGCTCTGCCTTGTGGGCTTGTGATTTTGTGTTAATCCAAGGCATGGTCGAGTTTATCCTCCCGTGGAAATATAACACAATCTCTATAAAACGATTCTAACCCAGGACGTCAGGAGCGAGGCTCATGATATGTGTGAATTCAGCATTGGTTTGCCATGTGTAATTTTCTGACTGTGTGAATTCAGCATTGATTTGCGATGTGTAATGTTCTGACTGTGTGAATTCAGCATTGAATTGCGATATGTAATGTTCTGACTGTGTGAATTACGAACTAACATCATAAAAGAACAGGTTCACCATGGTCCGGCTTCGCGACACAAAGATCTACAAAGTTCTGGCGACTGGATGTCTATCCGAGGTATCATCCGAATGCATCAAACACGTGCAGAGCGGTAAGAATATCAATCTTCGTGATGAGGACACGGGGGAGACCTATCTACATCTCCTTGCCGACAATGTTGACCGTTTCCGGTCCCCTCAAGGAACGTGCATCATCTACATCATGGCAAGTAAGGGCATAGACCTTGACCTTCTCGACAACGAGGGAAATTCATTCCTTCACAGGATCATGCGCATGCCTTACACGTACCGGGCAGTAGTGGCGATGATCAGGTGCGTTACTGGTATAACTTAACACGGGGTTGGGGTACGTGGCTCACGATGTAGTAATCGGGTACTGAGTGCTAAAGGGCTAAGCGATGTTTATGTGTGCGACGTCACAATACCTTTCTGACTATCGACAATTAACATACAAATTGTGAAACGGCTGACATATATCCAATATCAAGTTCTTATAGCTTTTGACACAACATGACTTCAAAAATCGTCCTTCCCAAGAACATTTGGACCTAAACCCCATTTGGATGATTTCCAAAAGTACACTTTAATAATTTTGACTCCTTTTTATGCCAAATTTTGGCGACGCCTCTCCTGAGTATGTTTACTCTCTATTGGACAGATGTCTCCGTGTCCCAGGGGCTGGTAATGTCTCTAGACATACACCCAACTGGTTGTATATATCGGGGTTTCCACTGTATCCGTCACTGAAGTGGAAACAATAACCAGGATTGGATTAGCGAAATTCGTATTATAAAGTAGATAATCCAATTAAGGTTAAGTTAGTCTCCCGCCAGGTTTATATGCTGCTGTCGAAGTTGTTTTCATGGCACCAACGTTTGTCTTCATGGTACCAACATTTGTCTTCATGGTACAACCATTTGTCTTCACGATACCATTAGTTGTCTTCACGATACCATTAGTTGTCTTCGCGGTACCATTAGTTGCCTTCGCGTTACCATTAGTTGTCTTCGCGGTACCATTAGTTGTCTTCACGATACCATTAGTTGTCTTCGCGGTACCATTAGTTGTCTTCGCGGTACCATTTGTTGTCTTCGCGTTACCATTAGTTGTCTTCGCGGTACCATTAGTTGTCTTCGCGGTACCATTAGTTGTCTTCGCGGTACCAACAATTGTCTTCATGGTAGCAACAGTTGTTTTCATATTTACCTGAAAAAATGAAGTTATGACCTCTTAAAGATGGCGATTCTGAGCTTTAAGGACGACAACTCCGAGTAAGGGAGTTACAGGAACGATAATTCTGACTTAATACGTTTTACTGAGAACAACTTTTCAGAGTTAATGATGGTAGAAAATGAAATTTATGGGTTAATAAGTATAAGGAACGATAACTCCAGGTCGATGAGAAACTCTTGGTTTGTTAGTGTTTGGAACGACACCTGTGGATTAGGCAGTGTTTCCTGTAGAATATAAAATACCGTGAATATATATGGACATCTTTGAATAACTTTGTCAGAATTTCAACGACAGAAGAATATGGATTATAATTTGCAGAATTTTGTTGTTATTAAATATCTTACAATATGACATGTCTCGTAATTTATATAGTAAAAGTATATATTACATTACACCAGACAAATCATTAAATATGTAATCTCTGTAGGTATAAATCCACTTGACCTGTCATATTATCAGACAAACGTCGCCAGTCCTAATAATTTGACGCCAGCTTTGCATATAGTGTCCTCTTACACGACTCTAAATAAATTTTAAATCAATTTTAAATTTAGTTCATTTAACAACACGAAATTTGATAGCAATTGTTCAACAGATATATTTTTGTGTAATGAAAATAAGGAATTACGTTGTTATGTGATAGGTGCGGTGCCGATCCATTGGTAAACAATAAGGAAGGCCTGACTCCCAGGGACATTCTAATGCAGACCAAACCCGATGGATGGGAAGAGACCCTTCATTGGTTCACAAAGTTCACACCAGGTAAATGTTGTATCATTTGTATTAATTACTTACATACATATCTATATCGTGTAAACACGTTTCTCAGCCAGGAAGTGGTGAAAAAAACCATAAAGGATATGCATGTACATGGAAAAACATTGATATATAAATATTTTTCACAAATATCAATTCAACCAAAGCTGAACACTTGAAAACTGACAAAATTTGACCTTCCGAAATGACTCCCTACCAGCATACGGAGTTGTGTTCCCGATCCGCGAGGTGGAGCAATGTGTACATAGTTCCGGTGATGTACACTCAAATCATGTTCCACGTTGAGAAAGTTGAAAGTTTTTTTAAGTTTTGATTTAATTATCTTACAACATGACATGACACCAGTCTTTGAGGTTGTCTGATAAAGAAACCAAGAATGTCGAGTAGGAAATTACCCTCTTGAGGACTATACTGTGCGTACACCTATGATTGGTCAGAATTATTGTCATCAACATCGATGTACCACTTTTACTTAATTACCACAGGTGCAAACGGTACATGTAGACTTGGTCAAATATGTATAAATGGACTCATTGTTAACACATGGAATTACGTGGCTACTACTGCTGAAGATGTGTCTATTTCCGCTGACATATCTCATAAAACGGGATACATCGACGGAAAAATCCTCTCATATTAAAATCGTTTTTGATAAGATTGTATAAAGATGTATTCTTGAGTTAAAAATCTCAGTCTAAAGGCCAATTTTAATAAAACAAAAAATTCACCAAAAAGTGATTTATTTCATACGTGATAACTTTTCAAACTTTATCAAAATGTTTTTTATCAAATTAAACATCACTGAATTAACACAAACATGTTTGATATACACGATTTTGTCTCTCCTTGTATGAAAGGTCAAATCATGGATGGTAAACATCTTATTTGAAAAATTCGGAAAAAACATGTTAAATGAAATAAGAAGAAAACAACCTATTCAATATTGATCTCAGGTATCACGAAGACAATGTAATCAAGGAAAGTCCGTTTCGATAACTCTCGAGAACATATTGAAATGTCGAATGTGAAAGCTGTCATGATCGGGTCTCGTAGTATTACAGCACAGTAAACAGGTCAGACGTTTTATATTTGAAATATTTGTTAATTTCCTACCAGACTTATGATGAAAGAGAATGACAATAAATACTATAGTTATCAATAATCGGATAAACACTCCTATAGCTAATCCTCCAGTATACAAAACTAAACACTTTTCTATAATACGTGTTAATTAGGTGTATTGACACAGATATCTATATATCTTCAGGCAATGTTATACCAGTGTTACGTACAAAACTGAAGAAAAAATATAAAACAGATATCTATATATCTTCAGGCAATGTTATACCAGTGTTACGTACAAAACTGAAGAAAAAATATAAAACAGATATCTATATATCTTCAGGCAATGTAATACCAGTGTTATGTACAAAACTGAAGAAAAAATATCTTTAATCTTTCAAAGCAAAGAAAAATAATGTACATGAAATGACTATTTTAAAGAATGAGCACTAGTAGAGGATATTGATAAAATGAAGTGTATAAACTTTTACTAAATGCAAATATTTTAAACACTTAATATCTTTTTTTCATTTCAACGCAGCTCCACACGCCTCTTGTAGCTAGAAAAGGCACAAAACTGAAAACTTAATACTTGTACATTATTTTGTGATAACAAGATAACCGATTTCTATTTATTCCAACAAATAGTCCATATTAGCACGACTTAGGTATCGAATATAAGAGATAATAGGTATATGTAAGTCCTTAATATTAGGTCAAGGTATACATGCAGTATATGTAGGACGAGTCACAATTCAACCACGGACTAAGTTTATTAATCGATTTAATTTGATTCATGCTGTAGATGATCGAATCGGTTGAATGCGAATAATTAAAGCGTATATCATATGAAAAATTGACAACCAAATAACTATCAAACATACATGGCATACTGATACCTCTCCAATACCGCTACTTCTCACGTGAGTATCTCCGAAGTAGTCACGAAATAATCCGGAGGGGTAATGTCATGTAATCCTGATCGAAAGAAGCTGAGTTAACAGAGAACATCTTCAGAACTATTTATTTTGGTGACTGTCTTTTTGTTCAGGCTCATCAGACGTGGATCCGAAAATAATTCACATTTTCGATTCCCTCTCAAAATATCCTGAACCAATTGTACTGAAAATTTACCATAACATTTCTTGTCCAAACGTGACCCCCAAATTGTGATAAATACATTCCTGTGGTACGGGACCAAACGGAATCACATAGTTAGATCTTACTGTATTACACAATCTCACTCTACTACGCGATCTCACTTGACCTGATTTTGTCGTCAGAACTCACTCTACTACGCGATCTCACCTGACCTGATTTTGTCGTCAGAACTCGCTCTACTACGCGATCTCACCTGACCTGATATTGGCGTCAGAACTCACTCTACTACGCGATCTCACTTGACCTGATTTTGTCGTCAGAACTCACTCCACTACGCGATCTCACCTGACCTGATTTTGTCGTCAGAAATCGCTCTACTACGCGATCTCACCTGACCTGATATTGGCGTCAGAACTCACTCTACTACGCGACCTCACTTGACCTGATTTTGGCGTCAGAACTTACTCTACTACGCGATCTCAACTGACCTGATTTTGTCGTCAGAACTTACTCTACTACGCGATCTCAACTGACCTGATTTTGTCGTCAGAACTCACTCTACTACGCGACCTCACTTGACCTGATTTTGGCGTCAGAACTCACTCTACTACGCGACCTCACTTGACCTGATTTTGGCGTCAGAACTTACTCTACTACGCGATCTCAACTGACCTGATTTTGTCGTCAGAACTTACTCTACTACGCGATCTCACCTGACCTGATATTGGCGTCAGAACTCACTCTACTACGCGATCTCACTTGACCTGATTTTGTCGTCAGAACTCACTCCACTACGCGATCTCAACTGACCTGATTTTGTCGTCAGAAATCGCTCTACTACGCGATCTCACCTGACCTGATATTGGCGTCAGAACTCACTCTACTACGCGACCTCACATAACCTGATATTGGCGTCAGAACTTACTCTACTACGCGATCTCATTGACCTGTTTTTGGAATTAGATCTTGGTAATGGCATATCTTTGTTTACATACTGCAGGTTTATACCGGGCATTGATGGAAGAGCATCCTGACAGGGCGCTAGTGGAAAAACTACTCAAATATCTGTGTCGGACAAACATTGTCAAAGACGGGAAACTTGTTTGTCTGAAAACGATCGCCAAACAGAATAACAAGGATTTATATCTTGTGGACTTGTTGGAGAAATATGAAAATACAATTGAATTTGCGCTATCTCTGTTTACTGGAAAGGATCTAGCTCTCCAACATTTCTTTAAGGAAGGTAAGTATCCTGTTTCCGACCTTCAATTCCTTGGTCACTTAGATAAGGGTACACAGATGACATCTTCGATTCCACAGACGACAATCTTTGAATGGACTGATCTGGTCACTGTACCGAACAAACTAGGTATTCTACTGAATGTTTTCTCGTATATTACACGTTATCGTACTTTTATCAACCAAACCCGTTTTATTTCAGTTTCAAATAGAATGGACACCATTGATATCAACGTCACTGATTACAGCTACCAATACCGTTATCCGGATTACCCAGAAGTCCCACTTCCTGTTCTCGCCGCATTGTGGGAAGGTGACATGGAAGACAATATCGCCGTTCTACTGGGAATGGGAGTTGACACGTCCGTTTTATTTTCATATAATCCTGAAGTCGAGCCACCAAAACCACTCTTCTTTCAGGTATCTGTTAGTTACCGATCCTGATACAGACACGGTTATATCATTTAAACTAATTATATAACGTTTTAGATTATCTCATTTTTTAATTATTCTATAGTTCGTGTAATGAAAGAGCGATCACAGAATAGAGTTACAAAGTTTTATGGTAAAACTTCGTCAGGGTTTCAAGATATAAATAACGAGAACACTTTTGCTTCGTGTTGCTCTACATTCAACTTATTAAGCGAGTTATGTCCCTTTTGTAGGTGTTATGTGGTGTTGTAAAACCGACGGACTCTATAATACACCGTGTGTTAGAGGCGTCAGACCTGTCCGTCCGAAACCTTTATGGACAGACAATTGTGTACGAAGCAATAACACAAGATTATCCGGAGAATCTCATCATAAGTCTTTTCAAATATGGCGCTAATTTGGCATCTAGAGACAAACACGGACGCACAGCGCATGACTACGCAGAGTTAATTAAGAAGCCACGTTACTGTAGACTTATAGACACATGTGTGGTAGAAATGGTGAAGGAATGTAATGTAGAGGGCGTGGAAGACCTTCTACGACACGGATACGACCACATTCTGGACGTAACGGATAGACAGACAGGCAATTCCATCATCGATATTGCTAGGGGTCGGTCATCTACAATCAGCGAGCTTCTGAAGAAGGCGGGCGCAGTCAAGGTATGATTTTCTTTATTTCGGACATGTGGTGGAGCTTGGCAACAGTAGACCTTAATCTTTATTTAGTACAGGCAACCAATAATCACCAAACATTGATTACGTAATTAATAGAGAAGGTTAGAGAGATAATTACAATGATTTCATTTACTTACATTCCATTGCATTAATAATATGACGTGTTTCCTAACAGAATGAAATAATCTGAGCAGATTCTTGCCATGGAAACATAACAAAAAAGGGCGTTTCTTTACAGGAACATATACGAAAGATGTTTCAGAAGACGGAGACCGGAAGTCTAGGCGAGTTGCGGCGCCTGCTAGGCAGGAAGTACGCGACATCGGTAGATAGATGTGGAAGGACGGTCTTACACATCGCCATTTTTAACGGGAAGAGGGATATCATCAGCTACCTGGCAACTCACTACTCACAACTCCTTAACATACAGGACAACGTATGTATGATGTTGTAAGCCTTCATACGTCAATAACGGCAATGCATGTATATATAAGGAATCTTTTTAGCAAATACAAAATTACTCGATATGTAAAGCAAATGCTTTCAATTTGATATGTTACATATTCAAAGACTTGAAAATACATCATAATACTGGTTTAGTGCTTAGCACGGGCGCTGTCATTTTAAAATCCTCGCTCCCTATCTACTGTGTATCACGTGGTATCCACCATCGTATTTATACTGAAAAACAATATTTTTGATGTTGTTCTGTGTTTGTTTTTCTCCTATAGCTGGGGAGGACGCCCCTCCACTACGCACAGCTGTTCATGGAAGGAGATCAGTTATTATCTACCATTACCAAGCTAGGAAACACGAGCATCAGGGACGTGGTAAGTGTTCCCATCGTTAACAAGTTAGGGAACAACATCAGGGACGTGGTAAGGCTCTCATCGTTAACAAATTAGGGAACAGGAGCATCAGGGACGTGGTAAGTGTTCCCATCGTTAACTAGTTAGGAAACAACATCAGGGACGTGGTAAGTGTCCTATCGTTAACAAGTTAGGGAACAACATCCGGGACGTGGTAAGTGTCCCAATCATTCACAAGTTAGGGAACAACATCAGGGACGTGGTAAGTGTCCCATCGTTAACAAGTTAGGGAACACTAACATCAGGGACGTGGTAAGTGTTCCCATCGTTAACAAGTTAGGGAACAACATCAGGGACGTGGTAAGTGTTCCCATCGTTAACAAGTTAGGGAACAACATCAGGGACGTGGTAAGGCTCTCATCGTTAACAAATTAGGGAACAGGAGCATCAGGGACGTGGTAAGTGTTCCCATCGTTAACTAGTTAGGAAACAACATCAGGGACGTGGTAAGTGTCCTATCGTTAACAAGTTAGGGAACAACATCCGGGACGTGGTAAGTGTCCCAATCATTCACAAGTTAGGGAACAACATCAGGGACGTGGTAAGTGTCCCATCGTTAACAAGTTAGGGAACACTAACATCAGGGACGTGGTAAGTGTTCCCATCATTCATAAGTTAGGGAACAACATCAGGGACGTGGTAAGTGTCCCATCGTTAACAAATTAGGGAACATGAGTATAAGGGACGTGGTAAGTGTTCCCATCATTAAAATGTTTGGGAACAACATTAGGGTCGTGGCAAGTCTTCCAAGCTGGGAACACGTGAATCAAGGCGTAGTAAGTCTTCTCATCGTTACCAAGCTGGGAACACGTGAACCAAGGACGTGGTCAATATTCTCATCATTGACGCAACAGAAGACGTTACAAAAGCGACCAAAAACGCTAATCTCTTGTTTTATATTTGATAAAATGAAAAATAGTAATAAATTTATCAATTGATATAAAGTTATATATATATATATCCATCACCGAGATTGGTTACAAGTGTTTAAATTGTGTCCTGATTCCATAACTTTGTTTAACAGCAAGGCCTGACACCACTCCAGTATAGTATAAAGGAATGTGGAGAACGCACCTTCTCCCTACTTAAGAAGGCTGTCCAGGAAATGGCGATGGATGTCTTCCTCAGTCAAACCCAGTTTAAACAGTCCATGAAAACAGCAATACAGGTACATGAAGACTGATGTACTTTGATATAAGGGAGATAACTCCTATTTTTTGTTGGACTATTATCATCACAATGATTATCGTCCTAAAATTACGCTCCTAATTCACAGTTTTGTTTTTTCGTTTTTTTTTTATACCTCTAGCTAGGTATAGGTGTTTGTGTAAATTAACACTTGGTCAATGCACGTGTTATTACAAACTAGACTGATATTTACGTTGTATAAGCCAGTGTTTCACTTTATCGTGAGAATTTAGGTCATCTTCTTCTTTTCACAAATAAACTTTATCAATTGCTTACCTATTCTTCTTCTTTATTGGAGTTGTAGTTGGCATGATAAAAGTCGTACAATTCTGGACGGTAATGTTTACTGTCGATCAAAACAATAGAACAGGTCATGATTTAGATCGTGTTAGGATAACACAGTAACAGAACGGTGAATCAATTGTATCTTATTTATTTTTTCTTAGACTCAAATTAAACAAACAGGCAGTTCTCATGAAATAGGCATATTACTTCCCCTGATCATTCCGCAAGCAAGAAGCCCTCTCTCTTTAGCACTGTACTATTACAAAAGTATAGAGTGTTGAAGATCAAATATTATTATTTATCTTACTCAATAGCAATCCTCTGGACATTTGCGTACAATTAATCAACTCAATAAATGAAAGAGGAATGCATTTTTAATACCCGACTGCTTTCATTCTTTCTACTTTCTATCTAATTGTGACCAGTGAAACAACATGCGGGAGACCAACCTCATGCTAGTCAAAGCTATTTGGACAGAATATCTTGGTAAATGACCCAACATGACACAATGATTCATTATCTCAGCTTTAGCTTCAAGAGAAACTGAACCTCACATTTCGGTATTACTAGTATCGCATTAAGAAATAAACCACAGAGATGTCTCTTTATTGTGATATTGGGCGAATACCAAGGTCAGAGTGGATTTATATATATATATATATATAAATAGTTTTGCCCGTGTTACAGAAGGAGGACTTAACGAAGATACAGCGCCTCTTGCGAGGTCTGCGGGTTCATGGGGACATAACTCGCCACAGTACGTTACTCTTTTCCTGTATTGAATGGGGAAAGGAAAATGCTGCTATACAAATGATCAGAGAAGGGCTTAGTACAGACATCTTTAAACAGGTAAACAGGAAATCGAACGGTAGACCAGATAACTCACGTGATAGTGCAAGTATCGAGACAGTGTGTTAGTTTGATACTGTTCTATAGTCAGTTGTGTGAAATGTATAAAAACTGCACAATCTTCTAAATCGTATAATACTCACACAGAGAGTTGTATGATTCCAGAGGACTATACGATTTTAGGGAATTGTACAATTCACGAGGATTGTATAATATCAAGGGATGTATGGTATAAGGGGGTGTATGCCATCAGTGGATGTATGGTATAAGGGGGTGTATGCCATCAGTGGATGTATAGTATAAGGGGGTGTATGCCATCAGTGGATGTATGGTATAAGGGGTGTATGCCATCAGTGGATGTATGGTATAAGGGGGTGTATGCCATCAGTGGATGTATAGTACAAGGGGGTGTATGACATCAGTGGATGTATGGTATAAGGGGGTGTATGCCATCAGTGGATGTATGATATAAGGGGGTGTATGACATCAGTGGATGGATGATATAAGGTGGTGTATGCCATCAGTGGATGTATGATATAAGGGGTGTATGCCATCAGTGGATGTATGATATAAGGGGTGTATGCCATCAGTGGATGTATGATATAAGGGGTGTATGCCATCAGTGGATGTATGATATAAGGGGGTGTATGCCATCAGTGGATGGATGATATAAGGGGTGTATGCCATCAGTGGATGTATGATATAAGGTGGTGTATGCCATCAGTGGATGTATGATATAAGGGGTGTATGCCATCAGTGGATGTATGATATAAGGGGTGTATGCCATCAGTGGATGGATGATATAAGGGGTGTATGCCATCAGTGGATGTATGATATAAGGGGTGTATGCCATCAGTGGATGTAATGATATAAGGGGTGTATGCCATCAGTGGATGTATGATATAAGGGGTGTATGCCATCAGTGGATGTATGATATAAGGGGTGTATGCCATCAGTGGATGTATGGTATAAGGGGTGTATGCCATCAGTGGATGTATATCCGAGGATTGTACAGTTTTAGGGGATAGTATAACCCCAGAGAATTATATCATACAATCCTATTAAATCATACAATCTTCTGGGTATTAGTGTATTATGTATGGTATAAAGATATATAAAACGACCTCGGAATTCCTGTAAACGTATGACGTCAGGAAGTCAAGTATAATCTTATGTCTATAAGATTCTATTACTTCCTCCACAGTATCAGAAGTGTGACCCAAACAGTACCAAGTGTGTAATGTATGAGTGTACACACACTATGATATCTCTCCGTGAAAAGGCAGAGGAACTCAAGAGAAGGCGGGTTTTACAATTTTTAGACCAAATACAGATGGATACTGACAAGGTAGGTAGCAAAAGGTTATTGGTAACTAGAAATTGACATGACTTCCGCATAACTGGTTACTGGAAATCTACATGGTTACCTGATAACGTCATGGTTCCCTGATAACGTCATGGTTCCCTGATAACGTCATGGTTACCTGATAACGACATGGTTACCTGATAACGACATGTTTCCCTGATAACGACATGGTTACCTGACATCGACATGGTTGCCTGATAACGACATGGTTCCCTGATAACGTCATGGTTCCCTGATAACGACATGGTTACCTGATAACGACATGGTTACCTGATAACGACATGGTTACCTGATAACGACATGTTTCCCTGATAACGACATGGTTACCTGACATCGACATGGTTGCCTGATAACGACATGGTTCCCTGATAACGTCATGGTTCCCTGATAACGACATGGTTACCTGATAACGACATGGTTACCTGACATCGACATGGTTGCCTGATAACGACATGGTTCCCTGATAACGTCATGGTTCCCTGATAACGACATGGTTACCTGATAACGACATGGTTACCTGGTAACGACATGGTTACCTGACATCGACATGGTTCCCTGATGTGTTATATGGGGCGTATTTTCTGTATAATAGTTAATGGTATAGATGTCGTTGATTATATAATCAGAATAAATTACATTGATTTTAATTACCTAATATGTCTACCTTTTATGTTTAACAGAACGAAGTAATGTCACCGAGGGCCACACCCGATGTCAGTAACTTTGAAAAGTTCGGGAAAGTGTGACGTGTAGTGTGACGTGTAGTGTGACGTGTAGTGATTTCCGATTTATTGGAGTGTTTAATTTCTTCTATAGACTGTATCTATTTGGTATTACATGTTGTAAACATAATTCTACCTTCTTAATGATGTATCGTCTATGAAATACTCAGTTATTCCAAATGTCTGTACTGTACAGTATTAGGTAGTAATGTCTGTACTGTACAGTATTAGGTAGTACATGTCTGTACTGTACAGTATTAGGTAGTACAAGTCTGTACTGTACAGTATTAGGTAGTACATGTCTGTACTGTACAGTATTAGGTAGTACATGTCTGTACTGTACTGTATTAGGTAGTACATGTATGTACTGTACAGTATTAGGTAGTACATGTCTGTACTGTACAGTATTAGGTAGTACATGTCTGTACTGTACAGTATTAGGTAGTACATGTCTACTGTACAGTATTAGGTAGTACATGTATATACTGTACAGTATTAGGTAGTACATGTCTGTACTGTACTGTATTAGGTAGTACATGTATGTACTGTACAGTATTAGGTAGTACATGTATGTACTGTACAGTATTAGGTAGTACATGTCTGTACTGTACATTATTAGGTAGTACATGTCTACTGTACAGTATTAGGTAGTACATGTCTGTACTGTACAGTATTAGGTAGTACAAGTCTGTACTGTACAGTATTAGGTAGTACATGTCTGTACTGTACAGTATTAGGTAGTACACATGTCTGTACTGTACAGTATTAGGTAGTACAAGTCTGTACTGTACAGTATTAGGTAGTACATGTCTGTACTGTACTGTATTAGGTAGTACATGTATGTACTGTACAGTATTAGGTAGTACATGTCTGTACTGCACAGTATTAGGTATTACATGTCTGTACTGTACAGTATTAGGTAGTACATGTCTACTGTACAGTATTAGGTAGTACATGTATATACTATACAGTATTAGGTAGTACAAGTCTGTACTGTACAGTATTAGGTAGTACATGTCTGTACTGTACAGTATTAGGTAGTACACATGTCTGTACTGTACAGTATTAGGTAGTACAAGTCTGTACTGTACAGTATTAGGTAGTACATGTATATACTGTACAGTATTAGGTAGTACATGTCTGTACTGTACAGTATTAGGTAGTACACATGTCTGTACTGTACAGTATTAGGTAGTACAAGTCTGTACTGTACAGTATTAGGTAGTACATGTCTGTACTGTACAGTATTAGGTATTACATGTCTGTACTGTACAGTATTAGGTATTACATGTCTGTACTGTACAGTATTAGGTAGTACATGTCTGTACTGTACAGTATTAGGTAATACATGTCTGTACTGTACAGTATTAGGTAGTACATGTCTGTACTGTACAGTATTAGGTAGTACAAGTCTGTACTGTACAGTATTAGGTAGTACATGTCTGTACTGTACAGTATTAGGTAGTACACATGTCTGTACTGTACAGTATTAGGTAGTACAAGTCTGTACTGTACAGTATTAGGTAGTACATGTCTGTACTGTACTGTATTAGGTAGTACATGTATGTACTGTACAGTATTAGGTAGTACATGTCTGTACTGCACAGTATTAGGTATTACATGTCTGTACTGTACAGTATTAGGTAGTACATGTCTACTGTACAGTATTAGGTAGTACATGTATATACTATACAGTATTAGGTAGTACAAGTCTGTACTGTACAGTATTAGGTAGTACATGTCTGTACTGTACAGTATTAGGTAGTACACATGTCTGTACTGTACAGTATTAGGTAGTACAAGTCTGTACTGTACAGTATTAGGTAGTACACATGTCTGTACTGTACAGTATTAGGTAGTACAAGTCTGTACTGTACAGTATTAGGTAGTACATGTATATACTGTACAGTATTAGGTAGTACATGTCTGTACTGTACAGTATTAGGTAGTACACATGTCTGTACTGTACAGTATTAGGTAGTACAAGTCTGTACTGTACAGTATTAGGTAGTACATGTCTGTACTGTACAGTATTAGGTAGTACATGTCTGTACTGTACAGTATTAGGTAGTACATGTCTGTACTGTACAGTATTAGGTAGTACATGTCTGTACTGTACAGTATTAGGTAGTACAAGTCTGTACTGTACAGTATTAGGTAGTACATGTATATACTGTACAGTATTAGGTAGTACATGTCTGTACTGTACAGTATTAGGTAGTACACATGTCTGTACTGTACAGTATTAGGTAGTACAAGTCTGTACTGTACAGTATTAGGTAGTACATGTCTGTACTGTACAGTATTAGGTAGTACATGTCTGTACTGTACAGTATTAGGTAGTACAAGTCTGTACTGTTACAGTATTAGGTAGTACATGTCTGTACTGTACAGTATTAGGTAGTACACATGTCTGTACTGTACAGTATTAGGTATTACATGTCTGTACTGTACAGTATTAGGTAGTACACATGTCTGTACTGTACAGTATTAGGTATTACATGTCTGTACTGTACAGTATTAGGTAGTACACATGTCTGTACTGTACAGTATTAGGTATTACATGTCTGTACTGTACAGTATTAGGTAGTACATGTCTGTACTGTACAGTATTAGGTAGTACAAGTCTGTACTGTACAGTATTAGGTAGTACATGTCTGTACTGTACAGTATTAGGTAGTACTTGTCTGTACTGTACAGTATTAGGTAGTACACATGTCTGTACTGTACAGTATTAGGTAGTACAAGTCTGTACTGTACAGTATTAGGTAGTACATGTCTGTACTGTACAGTATTAGGTATTACATGTCTGTACTGTACAGTATTAGGTAGTACATGTCTGTACTGTACAGTATTAGGTAGTACATGTCTGTACTGTACAGTATTAGGTAGTACATGTATATACTGTACAGTATTAGGTATTACATGTCTGTACTGTACAGTATTAGGTAGTACATGTATATACTGTACAGTATTAGGTAGTACATGTCTGTCTATGACATTTGTCTGTATTTTATTTTGTTGTATATTTACAGCTGTCTCCTGTAACAATAATCTTTTGTGTCCATATGTCTATAACTGTCTCCGGTTTCCTTAATGTTTTAAGTCAAGGATCAGTTGTTTCTACTGTAGATGCAGTAGAATTGTGACTACATGTCCAAATAAACTTACTAATATATTGCACCATGTGTTGTTATCATATCAAATTTAAAATTATTCACACAGCACACACATAATTTCTGGGGATCTGTAATAGTGTGTTGTCAATTTCACTATGATGTTATGAATACATATGCTCGATATAAAGACTGTTCTAGTTTGGATTTGAAATTGACTCAACATATGCCAGTTGCTATTAATTTCTGTAGTTTACTGAGCACTCCATAAACATTCTGGTCTCTTAGAGTTACCGCCCTTCGTTCCATTCTGTCAGTATATATAAGACTTGACGGCCGAATGAGACCGCGAATGTCCGTAAATAGCTAGTACCACATTCACTGAAAACACTTTTAAGTTAACACAATATCGCGTTAATTTTACTTTCTTTAGAATTAGACAACTGTGGAAAATATATTTGACTTAGTGCCGTGGTACTTGTTATAAATAATTGTCATTTTTGTACAATCCATTGCGCCATATTTGATAGAAAGTTTCTACAACGTCAATAAATACACAAAATTTACATTTGATAACCTTTGTCAAATTGACTAAAGAATTAAGTATAAAAGTGTTATCGATGGTTGAATTATTTTTACGAAAACCAGTTTGGTTTTTATATGTGAAGTTTAGGTTCTCTTCACAGTAACCTTTCATTCAATACACATCTTCCCTAAACAGCTAACGATGGTAATTTGCCTATGTGTTTGGTTTCCATAGACGCACACTTATTATCAGTAATAGAGACAAAAAACTATTTAGTTGGAAAACTGCCACTATAATTGATTTGAACAAAGTTATCACATCCCAAAATATATTGCTGGATTAGATAAAATTTTGCCCGTGTCGAAAAACAAAGTAACATTTTTGGTAACTGACTTTATATTGTTAAAATGTCTGATGACTGACTTAAAATTGTTAAAGTGTCTTGTGACTGACTTTATATTGTTAAAATGTCTGATGACTGACTTAATATTGTTAAAATGTCTGATGACTGACTTAATATTGTTAAAATGTCTGATGACTGATTTTATAACGTTAAAATGTCTGATGACTGATTTTATAACGTTAAAATGTCTGATGACTGACTTAAAATTGTTAAAATGTCTGATGACTGACTTTATAACGTTAAAATGTCTGATGACTGACTTTATATGGTGAAAATGTCTGATGACTGACTTTATAACGTTAAAATGTCTGATGACTGACTTAATATTGTTAAAATGTCTGATGACTGACTTAATATTGTTAAAATGTCTGATGACTGATTTTATAACGTTAAAATGTCTGATGACTGACTTAATATTGTTAAAATGTCTGATGACTGACTTAAAATTGTTAAAATGTCTGATGACTGATTTTATAACGTTAAAATGTCTGATGACTGACTTAATATTGTTAAAATGTCTGATGACTGACTTAAAATTGTTAAAATGTCTGATGACTGATTTTATAACGTTAAAATGTCTGATGACTGACTTAAAATTGTTAAAATGTCTGATGACTGACTTAATATTGTTAAAATGTCTGATGACTGATTTTATAACGTTAAAATGTCTGATGACTGACTTAAAATTGTTAAAATGTCTGATGACTGATTTTATATGGTGAAAATGTCTGATGACTGACTTTATAACGTTACAATGTCTGATGACTGACTTAATATTGTTAAAATGTATTGTGACTTACTTAATATTGTTAAAATGTCTGATGACTGACTTAATATTGTTAAAATATCTGATGACTGACTTAATATTGTTAAAATGTCTGATGACTGACTTAAAATTGTTAAAATATCTGATGACTGAATTAATATTGTTAAAATGTCTGATGACTGACTTAATATTGTTGAAATGTCTGATGACTGA